TGTAAATGAGATCGTTAATTTAATCAATTAGAGGAGGAGGAGGAGGAGAGAGGAGGAGAGGAGAGGAGAGAGGGAGGAGGAGGAGAGAGGAGGAAAGAGAGGAGGAGAGAGGAGAGAGGAGAGAGGAGGAAAAACAAACACTGATTATGTAAATGAGATCGTTAATTTAATCAATTAGAGGAGGAGGAGGAGGAGGAGAGAGGAGGAGAGAGGAGAAGAGAGGAGGAGAGAGGGAGGAAGAGGAGAGGAGAGAGAGAAGGAGAGAGGGGGGAAGGAGGAGAGAGAGGGAGGAGAGAGGAGGAGAGGAGAGGAGAGAGGGAGGAGGAGAGAGAGAGGAGGAGAGAGAAGAAGGAGAGGAGGAGGAGAGAGGGAGGGGGAGGAGCAGAGAAGGAGGAGAGAGAGGAGGCGAGAGAGAAGAGGAGGAGGAGAGGAGAGAGAGGAGGAGAGAGGATGAAAGAGAGGAGGAGAGAAGGAGGAGAGAGGAGGTGAGAGAGAAGGAGGAGAGAGGGAGGAGGAGAGGAGGAGGAGAGAGAGGGAGGAGGAGGAAAGAGAGGAGGAGAGAGGGAGGAGAAGGAGAGGAGGAGAGGAGAGAGGAGGAAAGTAGGAGGAGAGAGGAGAGCAGGAGAGGAGAGGACAGCGTTTCACCTCCACACTCACCTGTTTGTGTTTGTCTGTATATAAATCCTGCAGAGCTCCCCCTGCTGGTGGAACTTCAGACGACAGAAACAGAAACACCTGCAGCTAAAAGAGAGACAGACACACACACACACACACACACACAGACACACACACACACAGACACACACACATATACACACACACACAGACACACACACACACACACACACACACACACACACACACACACACACACACACACACACACACACACATGTTGTTCATCACACTGCAGAGTGTGTGTGTCCACCACAGGTCAAAGGTCAGCTGAGAACAATGTGTGTGTTTGGAGGACGGAGATGAAGAGCTGACAGCTGAGACACTTCCTGCAGAGAGGACCGAGTTCTGTGAGTGTGTCTGTGTGTGTGTGTGTGTGTGAGTGTGTGTGTGTGTGTGTGTGTGTGTGTGAGTGTGTCAGTGTGTGTGTGTGTGTGAGTGTGTGTGTGTGGTCTGAGTATTGTTTTGTTTGTTTTGTTTAGTCGCACAGATTTTCTCTTTCTTGGTTCATACAGACTTTGATAATGAACTGAAGGTAAAATCCACTCAGTCTGTGAGTCCAGACGCTGTCAGCCGATGAACTCTGACCCCCGACCTCCACCTTCATCCTGATCGTCTCCTAAAAGGTCGTATCCTCCGATCGTAGCTGATCGTAACCATTCAAGTTAACGTGTCGATTTACACCGACTTCTTTCCGTTCCTCTGCGGATCGCCGGACTCCTCAGCTGATCACAAGAGTTCTATTTTTTCTGGACGCCGGAGCATGGCGGATAAATTCAGCACAGATTAACCCGTGCTGGAAAGGAAGTCGGGCACAGACACAAAATAAAACATCCTGCTTCTTTTCAAAATAAAACATCCGGCTTCTTTTCAAAATAAAACACTCCGTGTTTCAGGAGGATCGTATTTCACACCATGCAAACGGGCGGAGACGAACAAGTGAAAGGTTTTTAGACGTCATTTCACCCCGATGACACCATGGATGAGGAGATGCTGATTCTAGAAGTCTAGAAGTAGATTTCCTCCTCTGGAAGGACACAATCTACTGCTTATATGTCTATGTGTCTGTCTTTAGAGAGACAACTCGTTATCGTGAGATTGGACGTGAATCTGCGGGTTCTCGTGAGTTCTCATGATTACCGCTGTCCTTAATCCGCCACGCCTCACAAACGGTGGGAATTGTCGTACGGCGCAAAGACACCGCCGTTCCAGATGTGGTGGAAATTGAGGTTGATTGTTTCTGAGGTTTCCTGTCAGAGGTCAAAGGTCATCTGAGAGGATTTTAGTCCTTTCTGTGGTCGAAGGAGGCCGCCATCTTTTCATGGATTTAACCTTCATCTCTCTGAAATCTGAGATCAGCAGCAAACAACAAATCTGACCAACGATCGTAGAAAGACGATCAATCGTAGAAAGACGATCAATCGGAGATTTTCATCTGAAGATGAAGAGACTTCACAACAATCTGAACGTACGACCTTCAGAGATCTGATCCATGTTTGAAGGTTTGAGTCTGACCCTCCTGGACCTGAGAGTCCTTCAGAACCAGGACCGGGTCTGAGGAGAGGACCTCAGAAGTCCAGTTCAACTAACGTGTTTTTAATTATAGATCAATAAACATCAAACTTTCAGTCAGAGACGCTTCAAACACGAGTTCAGCAGCCCGTACACACACACACACACACACACACACACACACACACACACACACACACACACACACACACAGGAACATATGGTGGTGTGTGTGTGTGTGTGTGTGTGTGTGTGTGTCCCCTCCTCTCAGCAGATCAATAATGAAGGTGTTTCCGCCTCTTTAAGCTTCAGTCCGTTCAGCTGAGACCCCCCCCCCCCCCCCCAGTATCTATAATAGATGTGTTGTTCCGCCGTGTCGACGATGGCGAGGAAGCCTCAGGTGAGAACAGACCGCTCTCTTCGCCAACACCACCGCCGCTCTGCAGGAAAACACCTCACAGCCTTTAACCCTTCAGAGGAACAACCTCAGAACTTCAGAACCTCAGAACCTCAGAACCACAGAACCTCAGAACCACAGAACCACAGAACCACAGTACCTCAGTACCTGTTGGGTCCATGTTCTGGTTCCGGGTTGGTCTCAGTCTTTCTCTTCTTGGAGTTTTTGAATCATTTCTGTCACACTCTCACGTCTCTCCTCCATGTCAGCGCCTCCTCCCTCCTCCTCCCTCCTCCTCCCCGCTCCTCGCCGCCCCGCTCCTCACCCCCGTCTCCGTCTGTGTTCAGGAGGATCCTCTCCTTTGGAAAAGTTCCAGCATGTTTCTTGTCCATCAACAGGAACTCTTGGACCAGAAGACTCGTCCCTGTCAGAGTGTCTCCCAGCAGGGGGGCTGCGGGGCCCCTCAGGGGCCTCTACGGCCGTGAGAACATGAAAAAAACATACTAGATACTGCAGATGATGAACACATGAGGAGAAACAGGAGAGGTGATTCAGGGTCCTCAAGAAGACCTCGACGCCCCAAAGACCACGTCAGACCACCACGGGTCTGAATACGGGGTCGGTCAGAGACCAGGAGGTGGACTCAGAGACCAGGAGGTGGACTCAGAGACAGTTTAAATAAAACTTTGTTCACATGTTCTTCTGAGTTATAAAAGTAAGGAGCACAAAGAACTTTAGGAGATCAATGAAAACTGATCAATAATGTTTGTCTTATTGATCGACCTTAGTACTATTATTAGAAATCAATTTTAGGTCTTTTGGTCACATGACAGTGAAGCTATTGGAGGAAAACAGCCTTTTCTGAGAACATCAACCAGTAATTTATTGACGGTCCCTTATTCAACACCGACGTTGACAGTGAGGGTGTCGAGTAGATTTAACCGCGCTGCTGTTGTTATTCCCGGTTATGGAGAGTGAGAAGACACCGGTAGATCCTCAGAGAATGTCCGTCAGATATCCAACCTGAAACTAACTTCACCGCCGTATTTACAGGAGAATATATCCAACCTGAAACTAACTTCACCGCGTATTTACAGGAAAAAACATCCAACCTGAAACTAACTTCACCGCCGTATTTACAGGAAAATATATCCAACCTGAAACTAACTTCACCGCCGTATTTACAGGAAAATATATCCAACCTGAAACTAACTTCACCGCCGTATTTACAGGAAAATATATCCAACCTGAAACTAACTTCACCGCTGTATTTACAGGAAAATATATCCAACCTAAAACTAACTTCACCGCCGTATTTACAGGAAAATATATCCAACCTGAAACTAACTTCACCGCGTATTTACAGGAAAAAACATCCAACCTAAAACTAACTTCACCGCCATATTTACAGGAAAATATATCCAACCTGAAACTAACTTCACCGCCGTATTTACAGGAAAATATATCCAACCTAAAACTAACTTCACCGCCGTATTTACAGGAAAATATATCCAACCTAAAACTAACTTCACCGCCGTATTTACAGGAAAATATATCCAACCTGAAACTAACTTCACCGCGTATTTACAGGAAAAAACATCCAACCTAAAACTAACTTCACCGCCATATTTACAGGAAAATATATCCAACCTGAAACTAACTTCACCGCCGTATTTACAGGAAAATATATCCAACCTAAAACTAACTTCACCGCCGTATTTACAGGAAAATATATCCAACCTAAAACTAACTTCACCGCTGTATTTACAGGAAAATATATCCAACCTGAAACTAACTTCACCGCCGTATTTACAGGAAAATATATCCAACCTGAAACTAACTTCACCGCCGTATTTACAGGAAAATATATCCAACCTGAAACTAACTTCACCGCCGTATTTACAGGAAAATATATCCAACCTGAAACTAACTTCACCGCCGTATTTACAGGAAAATATATCCAACCTGAAACTAACTTCACCGCCGTATTTACAGGAAAATATATCCAACCTAAAACTAACTTCACCGCCGTATTTACAGGAAAATATATCCAACCTGAAACTAACTTCACCGCCGTATTTACAGGAAAAAAAAACATTTGTTGATTTTTTTATGTGACCCTAAATACATTTTTAAATTTACACACATCTATTTTTAGTCGCAGTGAAACGGTCGAACTGTCACTGAGCCCTGGTATATAGTGGGTCTGTGGTTCTGTGGGTCTGTGGGTCTGTGGGTCTAGAGGAGGGGGTCCGTCAGAATCTGGTCCTGCTGGGAGGATTTACAGAGAGAATAAACAAAGTAAAGTCTGTTTGGGTCAGAACCACTCAGCGTGGATCTTTGAAGTCCTGCTAACATCAGAGGAGGCGGCTCTGGTTCTGCTCGAGGGGTTCTGGAACAAACGGATCCGTTTAGAGGAGGACAAACTCGGTTAATGAGGCTAATTAAAGCTCTTATTAATGAGTGTGTTCAGATGATTTTAACGTATATTAATCGCCCCCCCGTCACAGCGGTGGTTAATCACGGAGGGCCTCCATATTGTCGTCCCTGGCGAGCAGGTGGTGGCGGTCACAGGCGATGACGGATGACGCCCACATGTGGCCCTGCAGGCAGAATCTGAGCGGCCGACTCTGAGAGCTCAGATCTGGACCATTTAGTTTTACATGTTGGAGACTCGGACCCGGAGCTGCTGGTGGGTCTCAGGAGCTTCAGGGCAGAGACGGACTTTAGAACAAGCGCTGGTGGCTCCGCTCCAGATTCCATTTAAATATTTTAGAGCAGGTCGGCCCGCCCCCCCGCCGCCACCGCCGCCGCCGCCCGCAGGCAGGAATAGTTTAACATTAACACGGCACATATTTTCAGTTTCCTGAGCAGAGAGGGTTCGAGCTTTCACCGAGGAAACGTGGATAGACAGAGACAGACGAGGATTTTAATCCCAGTCTCAGATTATTGCTGTAGAATAAATCTTCTCCTCCTCTCATGAGCGTCTTTTTTAAAACAACATATTTACTGAACTTTTACAAGTAAACAAAGACCATCAAAAACATGGACAGGTGGACAGGTGGACAGTGAAATACGTCGTCGTCTCCATCTATAAAAAGACCAAACTTGGAGTCGTCCAGAAAACCATCGATGACAACAAAAGTAAAAAGATAAAAAAGGACACGGGGACATGAGACAGAACAGAGATAAAGAAAATAAACATATACTAATATACATATATATATATATTTACATATATATATACAATATATATGTATATTTACATATACTCAGCACACTGTATCAGTGTCAGCGCCCCAACGTCTCAGAAAGTCCAACAGGAGTCTCCAAATCGTCTCAAACTCTCCTGCTGTCCCTCTGATCTTCGTCTCGTCTGTTTGTGAGTCTGACTTTGTTTTTGGTTCCCTCACGTTCTCAGACTCTTAGTCTGTGTTCAGACTGCAGCTCAGTTCTGATTGGTTCTGATCCGACCCTCTTCTGTATGTGGATATAAATCAGATATGTATCTGATGTGACTGCAGTGTGACGCTCAGGTCGAGTTTATCCGACCTTTACGTCATCAATATGAGACAAACGTCACCGATGTTTTCGACAAACATCACGTCACGTCCTGCTTTGTGTTCATGAGGGTCACTTCACAGACACATTCGTCGTTGTAACGTGAACGACCGCACAAAAAGATCGGATTGAACAGAAATCCGAACTGTGCGTCAGAACCTGCAGAGAGAACGAAGATCTTTGTCTCTGAGTGTTTTTTTCTCTCTTTGTGTTTTTTCCTGTTTTTGTTTTTTTGATATTTTCAGAGGAAGTTTTTGTTGCTTTTCTTTAAGTTCTTTTTAAATAAATATATTTTTTTGCATTTTGTGTTTTTCCTTCTTTAACTCCAAACTGTGACACACTTCACTGACGGACTTTCACACACTAAACCGTCTCAAAGAGAGAAAAACTGCTTCAACTACCATGAACAAAAAAAGATGTAATTTAACAACAAAAAAAAGCAGAATAATAAAAACAGCTGAAGGATTAAAACTCTGAACAAACGGGAATATTTGTGTTTTTAGTCGTTTTTGTTTCTTTGAAACCAAATCCATAAAAAGTCTTTATTCAGTGTTTTTATTCTGAAGAGTTGGAGCGTCTCTTTTATTCAGGGAAAATCGTCTGTTTTTAAAACTATCCTGAGGAGACGGAGGTGGACCCTGGAGAAGATCACCGCAGGAGAGGAGCATCGAGGAGAACCTGCAGATCAAGAACCTCCGAGTTTTTCTCTTCGGCTGTTTCTGTCCATAAAAAGGAAGGTGTCGGTCCGGTCGGAGGTTCGGTTCTGATGCATTCATGTGCTGCTCGGTTGGAGGGGGTTGTGGTTTTAGGAGCAGGTCTCTGATAGTCCTCAGTCCGGACTCCTGCTGGTTCCTCTGATAAAATGTGGATCCAAACCAAACCTGGAACAGGGACAGGATCAGATTTCAGCTCTGGGGGCAGAGGAGGATCAGAGCCAGGCTGTAATGAAGACCACTCCCTGCCCACCTTGTCACAGCCAGCTCCTGCTCAGCTCCCATCAACCCCCACCGACCCCTCTGACCCCGGGGGGAGCCAGAGCGCCGCGGCGGAGCCAGGCGTCCCGGCCGGAGCCAAGCTTTGTTTTCAGTCCACTGACCCTCCTCTGTGTCTCTGCTGAAGGTTCCCTCTGAACTCTGGAGAGGTGACAGGCCGGCAGGAGCAGCAGGAGCAGCAGGAGAGGAGAGATAAGGAGGAGGAGGAGGAACAAAAAGGCCCGCAGAGGGTCGGACACCCCCGGCGCTCTGGCAGCGAGGACACGGCAGGAGACGGCGCCCGGCTGTGGGGACAGTTTCCTCCTCCTCTGGATGTTTGGGTGTGAAAGCCGTTTGTTGGAGGAGCTGTGGTATCAGGGCCTGCAGAGGAGAAACCAGGAGGGGGAGGGGAGCGAGGGGGGGAGGGAGGAGGAGGAGGAGGAGGAGGAGGAGGAGGAGGAGGGTGTTCACGGCTGCCAGGCTGCTCAGCTCCTCCGTTAATCTGCGCTCTCTGGGAACCATGACGGACCGGAGCCAAGAGAGGGGGAGCAGGCCTCAGCACCTCCTCCTTTAAACCTCCACAGGAGCTTCTCTGTGGAGGAGGTGAAACCTGAACACGGACACTGAACTGTGTGTTTTCTTGGTCTCCTGATCTCTCTCTCGCGGCGGCGGCGGCGGCGGCGGCGGCGGCGGCAGCAGACCGCTCTTCTCCTGATTTTCTTTTTTCTGTTTGCCTCCAAGTTCACAGACCCTCTTTACTCCAGACCTCCTTAGATGTGTCTGTTGGACCTCAAAGACTGACCACCTGCACAGGTGTGTGGACAGGAAACAGGACAGGAGCTTCCTGTTCATGTGTGAGAGATTCATGAAGAAGAAGAAGAAGAAAAAGAAGAAGAGGAGGAGGAGATCTGTAATTTAATTTGTTTAATAAAAATTTAAAAATACATTTATCATTATCATTATAATTATTATTATTATTATTATAATTATTATCATTATTATTATTATTGTTTATTAATTAATTTATTTTTCAGTTCCACGTTTCCAAAGCGCTGATGTTCAGATCAGGTGGATCACTCTGTCTGGTTTTCATGGTCTCAGTCCTCAACCTCATAGAGTCTCTGATGTAAATCTGTGACGATGAAGATGAAGATGAAGATGAAGATCTCATGTTCCTGTTTCTAACCCTCAGTATTTAACGAGGATCTCTGCAGACCGGTGCTCGGCGCTCGGCTGGTTAGTTTGGCGATGTGATCCCCGGTGGCAGCAGGCCGGGCGCGCTGAGCCTCGCTGTGGGCCGATCACATTAATTATGCTAAACAGCAGCTAAAGCAGCGGCGGGGGAGGGGAGCGGGTGGCGTTTGTTTCCCTGAGAATAAGCGGACGGGCCGGTGGCGTTCAGAGATCGCAGCCCGCAGTCAGGCGTGACAACGGCGGCGGCACGAGACGCTCAGAGCTCAGGTCGAGGTTTTAAAGTCAGGGTCTGAGGGCAGGAATATGAAAATGAAGCTGCTGTGGCATGGTCCAGCTGGTCCGACTGGACCGTGAACAAAGGGGGGGGAGGGTCCTCCGATAAAAGAGGACCCTCAGACCAGAACCAGGAACTCTCAGAACCAAAGGGAGGACCCTCAGACCAGAACCAGGATGTTCTCCAAAACACCAAAATACTACACAATACTCCACTGATACACACACACACACACACACACACAAGAACGCTATTCCTATGTATATATATATACATATATGTATATATATATATATACATATATATATGTATACATATATATATATATATATATGTATACATATATATATATATATATGTATACATATATATATATATGTATACATATATATATGTATACATATATATATATATGTATACATATATATGTATACATATATATGTATACATATATATGTATACATATATATATATATAAATATATATATATATATATATATATATTTATATATACATATATATATATATTTATATATACATATACTGTATATATATAGTACATGTTTACATATAGATATATATACATATATATTGACATATACTGTATATAAAATATGGATCAGTATCACGGGTCCTCTTAAGGGGTCAGGGCCGACTCTTATCAGTCAGTCCGTTTCCATGACACTAAACCGAATTATCGTTTTATTCCGATTAAGACCGGACAACTGAAGGTCATGTTAACACCTTAGTCAGAGTTTGAGAACTCTCAGATAATGAGATTGGAATTTGATTTTCTCTCCCATGTAACCAGCGTAGTCGGAGTATGATCGGTTACAGGCCACGCCCCCGTAACCCCGTAACAAACCCCCAGAGTAGAGGAGTAGCGTTGGTCTCCTCTTTAGAAAAAGTAGCGCGTCCATCATGTCGGACAAAAACAACGCTGTACGATGCTCCATCTTCTTGTTTCTCCAAAATGCCCAGCAGCAGTTGTAGACACTTCTGACGTCTGACACCGACCTGCTGTTGTTGTTGACGGTCGGATGGGGTCGGAAACAGCGCCGCTGAAAAGACCCATATCGCCCCCTAGTGTTGGGGAGGAGGACACGTTCACGTCAATAATTCGATTTTCTCAGCTGCATGTAAACGAGGACGAGGAGAGAAGTCGGAAAAAGACGAATTCTGAGTTTATTCTGATTAAACTGAGACTGTAAACGACCTGAGTGAGGTCATGACCTCTTCGCTCTCCTCGCCTCGTCTTCCTGCTGAGTTTTTATCGCTGTGAACAGAGAAGTCCTGTTGGACCACAGGGGGGAGAGGGTCTGGTCTTGGAGGGGGTCTGTGGTGGCGTTGGTGTGGGGGTTGTCAGTGAGTGGGAGGGTCCTGGCTGTCAGAGGACATGAGGATGACAGACTTGGCGTCCTCTCTCGGCCTCTCTTCCTGATGGGTTGTGATGTGCCAGGATGGACATCAGCACAGCCGGGGTCTCTCTGGCGACCAGCCCCGCCTGTCCGCCCACATGCCAACACAAACACACACTATCTTGTTTTAGGCGAGGAGCCGCGGCGTTTTTGGCACCGGGCATCTGCCTCAGCGTCACTTGGCCGCCGCTCGCTGTCTTCAGGGCCTTTTCGGAGGGAAGCGCTCCGCCTCTGAGTTTTTCATCAGGAAAAAGCGCCCAACAAATCACTCCAAAACTTTGGTGTTGGGTGCCAACGTGACCGTCAGCCTCCGCCGCAGAATTGATGAGAGCCTTCTGATAATCCATTACGACACGGCTAAAGGTCGCAGCGTATAAATAGCCTTCAAGGGCGGCGTGCGGAGCGGTCTGAGGAGGACACACATGAAGCTGCTCATTAATCTGGAGCGTGGAGGTGTCGGTGTGTTATTAAACATCTCTGTCAGGTGGCCGTGACATTTCTCCATCCGGCGGGAAAACAACAGCAACACGCCACAGCGAGACTTTCTGACCTTCTCTGTCCCTGACCTCCTTCACAAGTCCGTAAATTTGACACAACAAGACGGGAAAGTTTGAAGGTTTTCAGACTTCATGTGATCTGATTTCAGGGAGCGAGCTCTGAACAGCAGCGAGGAGATCTCCTGAGGATGAAACCCTGCTCTGAGTGATCCTTACAGGACTGACCCTGTTTATCACTGATCTGATATCTACAGACACATGAACCAAATCTATCTGAGACCTTCTCCAAACAGACACAGAGGAAGTTCATCCTGATCAGAGCGAGGAGAACAAACAGGAGGAGAAACGAGGATGAAGAGGAGACCAGCAGAAATCCTCTGATAAACTGAATAAAAGTCAGACTGTCAGACCTGCAGAGACTCCCTGTGAAGGTTTCATGAACCTGTTTAAACCTCAGCCTCCATCAGCACAGCAGAACCGGACCGTGATGGTGCTGAAAGTCTCATGGATAATTCACAGAGAAACACCTGCAGCTGTTTAGATCTGGACCTGATTATTCCTCAACACGTGATTTACTGTAATTCAGTCGTTCAATAATAATAATAATAAAAAATAAATAAAAATGATAAAAAAAATAATAATAACAATAATAATAATAATAATAATAATAATAAAAAATAAATAAATAAAAATCATAATAATAATAATAACAACAATAACAATAATAATAATAAAGTAATATTATAATAATATTTATAATGTAATATTAATATTATTAAAATGTAATAATAACAATTGTTTTTATTTTATTATTATTATTATTATTATTATTATTTCTATAACGATACTAATAATGTAATAGTAATAATAATAATATTTTTTATTACTATGATTATTTCTATAATAATTATGATAGTAACGACAATAATATTGATGGTAATAATATTATTGATTATAATAATAATGGGTGCAGTGGAGAGCTCAGATTGATTCTGTGTTTTTCAGACTAAATGAAGGTCTGTTTTCCCGCTGCGCTGACTCTCTGTTTAAAGCTGCAGATCAACCGTCCTGCTGAGTTTCTGCGTCTCGGTGTTTTTTTACAGCCAGGAGAAAAAAAAAAGAAAAACCTCCTGTGAACACGGCGAGCTTCACATCCAGGTCCAAACCAGACGACGAGAGTCTGACCGAACATGCGAGCTCAGAGGGACACAGAGGCAGATGGTGCTGATGGCTGACGTTCAAAACTCTGAGTACACACACACACACACACACACACACACACACACACACACACACACACACACACACACACACACAGTGAAGGTGTGTTCAGGTGCAGCAGCTGTCTGTAGGGACTGTGTCTCACAACTGCAGTTCCTCTCTTGTCCACTAGAGGCTGTGTCCTGCAGTGAGTCAGTCCCCACAGAGCCCCATGTTAAAACTTTACAGCAGAAATAAACATGTGTAACCCTGTGAGAACTACAGTACTTCAAATTTAGGAGGGTTATAATAAAGTTAAATGTTTTCCAGAGAAACTAAAGAAATGTCAAGATGTATTTAAAACGCTGATAGTAAAACGCCAGTACACCGTTCTGGTCCGCTCTATGGTAGCTGACGGAGGGCGAGTAATCTATATGATCAACAATCCTCTTTACTCACTGAAATCAGATTTATAAACGGTTTAGTTTATTACAGACCTTAATAACGTGGCTCTGAGTCTGGATGTTTGGACATATTAAAATGACAGATTTACTTAAAGAAAAATAGACTTAATCATGAAGAACAGTTGTTTCACTTTGGACTAACTTTGAGTCACTTTGTCAGATCTGGACCTGATTATTCCTCAACACGTGATTTACTGTAATTCAGTCGTTCAATAATAATAATAATAAAAAATAAATAAAAATGATAAAAAAAATAATAATAACAATAATAATAATAATAATAATAAAAAATAAAAATAAATAAAAATCATAAAAATAATACTAATAATAACAATAA